CTGGACTGATTGAATGCAGCTTTTAATCTTATAGAGAATTTTTGGTGACTGGCGTTATTACTCATTTGTTCACCTGCAAAAATAATCACATAACTTAACAAGCTAAAAAAAAACTATAGCGTTTCTATAAATGCATAATTCGATTGTTACATGTGATAGTAATTTATTAACTATCATATAAACCCCTTTCACATTTTTCTCCTTTTTCAATTTTGAAAATTAACTTTTTTCTTCAGAATGTTCATGGTACAAAATTATGTTGGATACCAAAGTCTTCTTTTTAAAATGTGTATATTTATTAGTCTCATAAATCCACAGTAACCATAGTTAAAGGACACAAAACTCATCAAGTTTAGAAAATGATCAATCTGTACCAATCATCTATTAGACTGTGTACAAAAATTATCAAAAAATTAATCAGACGAATAATGTTTACATTGTAAAAGATATCTGTTGAACAGGTAACAAATGTTGAATTTTCACTCACATGATCTGTCACATGGCCCTGCATGTCACATGACCAACTCAGTGGTAACAAATTATGTTCTAATGCTGATTAGCTTGATCCTTTACTTCATTCAACTTTCAATACCAGTAATTAGTTAACCAAAACTAACAAATGTCATAAAATAGATTATATAATTTATACTTCCAAAGCTTATTTTGTTAAGACATTGTAAGCACAATTCACTAAATAATTCTTCTTAGCTTTTTTTTTTATTACAAAAATAAATGAAGTTTTTAAAAAAACTAGATTTTGGGAAATTTTGTTTCTTTCAGAGGAAATCAGCCAAATTTTTCACGAAACAATGTACACCGAAGATAACGAGAACATTTGTAGAAATCACCAGCGACAAAATAAAAGATTCAAAGAAATAAACAAACATGAAATTTTTAACTGTACATATTTTGTGACATCACAAAATAGTTTGGTCCCTTTTTAATGGGCTAATGACATTGAAGATCAGCTCTGAGTAAGCTAAAGAAGGGTAACAGGTCAGAGGAATCTAAGACATATTTATGAAACAATATACCCAAAATGTAAGTGAATTATTTGTGGGGTTTATTGCAAATGATTATATGTGTGTATGCATGTGTGTGTGTGTGTGTATATATATATATATGTATGTATATATATATGTATATAGTGTATGTATACACATATACACACATACAATTGTCTATACATTTTTTAAACAAATGTAGCCATTGTGTTCAATGATAGAGGGATTAAAATTTATTACTATAAATTTATAGCACAAACAAAAAATAAATTATTTTTTAAGTTATCTTTTTTCAAATATGACAATATAACAATCAACTGTAAAACTATCTTTCTTTAAAAATCCATCTTTATAATTGTAAAGTACTGAGTTTGTTATTTTTTTTTACACAAAACATTTTTCAAAGAATTATAAGGGAAAAAAAAAAACAGAATCTTCCTGATCATGAGCACAAGTTAATATTTTATCCACTTCAATAATTGGCCAGATAAGGTTCTTCATTAACATTAACAAAATATTACTGTTATTTTAAGCCCTGTTTGATAAGAAATAATAAAAGCTCATCACAATTATGGTCTACAAGAATTTTAATTGTCAGCTACCAGAAAATTATTTCTAAAAACATTTTTTGCACTTGTCTTATTGAACATTTCTACATGAACCTAATCAGACTGTGGCCTTGTTTACCGGTTAACTGACCAAACAACTGGCATTTCGTAATGTAATAATATAATCACAATCAAAGAATGATTTCATCTACATAACCTACACAACAACATCTGCTCCAGTGATCACATCATGATTCCCACCAAAGCCAACTTATGAAAAAAGTTAAAACCATCCACTATTTTTTAAACATCATCAAAATAAATATCCATTTACAAGAAAATTCTGCTTTTAAAGAAAAACCACTAATTCAAAGGTCTACCAACATGTCTTTTAAGTTTCTCTGGTAACATATTTTGGGCTAAAAATACAATAAAATATGAACAAATACACACCAAGCTTTAAGATTCTTAAGTGATTCTTTTAATTTCCTTGGATTTGATGTACTACAATTAAATTTAAGTTTTAAAAAAATAATTTAATTTTTGTTACAAGAATTAAAACAGGTCAGTTTTTAAACAAAAATGATATCATTGTTATATAATGAGTTTGTGTAACATTCCCTAAGATTTTGAAACTAAGCAATAAATGACCATTGCCTTAACAAACTCTAAGTGCTATCTGTTTTGATATACCAGTATCTATAACTGGAGCAAAATTTCATTCTTTGACTACTGCTATTGTCATCTATTCAGCAAGCATCAAATTAGCATGTGTTCAAAAGTTAATATTGATTCAAATATCTCATATTCATATCCATTTAAAATGATGGACAGATCTATGACTTGGTATTTACGATTTACAGTTTATTTCAAAAAAATATCTTTAAGCAAGTTCTTCAAGTCAAAATAAAATTTCTTTTAAACATTGTGAGTACACAGTACGGTAACTAATTTGTTATACATGGCTAAAAAAAAATTTTCCCATGTAATCTTTTTAGTTAACCTCAAATAAAAAATTTATAATATCGAAATAAAATCCATCAGTCCTCTATTGTAAATCAGAACATTATGGATTTGAAAAAAAACAACAAAAAAAAACATTAAGGAGCACTGACAAAATCTGCACATATTCATTTCCTCAGAACCTACATTGTTGACCAGAGTTAGATGTTTCCTTTAAAACTAAGTTTGAGAATTGAATTTTATGATAACTAATAATTACGATTGGGTGTCTAGCAAATATTCTGACAATGTTGATTACAAACAAAAAGTAAGACTCAAGAAATATGTCCAATAATTCTAAGATGAGACAGTGAATCAATTGTAAAGACAAACAGCCATAAACAAAAACTGGTCATTTTATGAAGAATTGTCGTACAACTGAGATTCAAGAAGGTCATATTAGTATGCATAAAACAAGTCAATGGAATTAACAGAAGTTAAGTGGGTTGATGTAGAGAGAGAATATTCACATTCTTAGTATACATTACAATTATGATTGTTCCATCATAACGTTCCCAGAGTAATATGATAATTAAAGAGCAATACAACTTTGTATTGGAAATGAAAATAAAAGTCAAATAAAAATTTCTATACATAGATTATATAACATTGAAAACAAATGAAACAGCCAACAAATCAAGAGTTTAAAATTATTTTTAAAAACTTTTTGTTATAAACACTAGCCTGCGATACACTAGTTAAACAGGTGATCTAATGCAATGACTAATTATCTGAGAGGTTAGTGAGAAATCATTAAAAGAAACAAATTAATCTGCATTTTTAAAATATATCACTTTTTTCTTTCAAACAGTGATATCACTTAATGGTGCACTAAATAGCTACCTTCCTAACGCCAGGCAGTGTGGACTGATATCATTTAATTTGTTCTTCATGTAACACATTTAGTTTTGAGCACACAAGTAATTCCTGTGTAACTACTTTGCAATAAATTTAATTTCAAGTTTAAACCTAATTTTCCTAGATGATATTAAAAAGTTTGACATTACAAAACTCAATATTTATTCCTACAATTATAAGTCAAACAAAAGAAATTTCTATCACTTAAGTACCAGAATGCTGAGTCAATTATCCAGCAAGTAAATGTAAAATACAAATAACTGTATCCAACAATTTTGAAATGGTTGCACCAATTTATCAGCAGATAATGGATGACTGTCCTGATCTGTCAGCCGTACATTATAAGCCAATTTATTGAGTTTATGGATATCAGAAATGCTGTCCTGACGTTAGCATTGAAATGAGATAACACTTTTGATGATTTTGTTTGTTCAAGTCCTAGCCACCACATTAGCAGGTCTCAAATCCAAAGAGTGTAATAGTAACTGCTTATCAAATGTTAAGATTGCACACAAGTATTAACTTTATATATTTGTTTACCCCCCAAAATTTCTCCACCCACCACCTTTCCAAAGTCTTGTTTCTCCCTTTATATTTAATTTAAAAAAAACATTAAAATTAATCCTCTAATAAATACATGTACAACCTCAGTTTCCCTAGTGCTGCTGCTTCTGTCCAGTACTGCATCAACACTTGAGCAACAACAGCCTTTATGGTAACGATGCAGTATCAATAACAACCTCAGACAGCCTTTGATGTTAGCGATACAGTATCAATAACAACCTCCGGCAGCTTCCCAGGTCAACTAAAAGTAACTTGCTGTCCAGCTGCAAGGCTCTGTGTCTGGGAATCAGAGGGCTGCCAATGACTCTTTATTTACTTTGTTATAATAATATTTTCAAACTCTTCGTAACCCATAATTTTGATTAAATTTAATATACTCCAATAAATTACCCAATCATAATTAATTCAAATATATATTTTGAGGGCACAATAAATAATTAACATACATAATAAATTTTCTTCTGCTGATTAATTGGTGAGCTTCCTGTTTGCTTAATGGTGCAACCCTAGATGACGGCTATTATCGTTGGAGCTTAGATTCTTTTACTACTTGTATGTCGTCAACAGATGACATATTAAAAAAACAAAAGAAAATTGTTTTAAAAGTCATATAAAACTCTTTAAAAATAAAAAGAACAACATTAATGTTATGTAATGGGAATAAACTCAGTACCTTGTCAAACATTGCTTCTAAATAATTCTTCAAAAAGTTATCTACAATTGCATGTGAAGTATAGAAAAGATGCAAACCTTACCACATACATAATGATATCAAAATACATGAACAAAAATCTCACTATACTCAATGTACATTGTACAATATATACAACTCAAGAGCAAATTATACACTGGATAGATCTCCTCATTAGTTGTAACATAAGCATAACACTCAATTTTAAAAATGGTTTTCATGTTTGTTTTTTTAAAATGTTTACGTCATCTATTTGTGTTAACACTCTACAATATATATATAATTTTTTTTCAATCACCAAGGTAGCGATTCATGATCCATTTCAATAACAGTGTCTCAACGTCCACAAATAAGACCAAAGGCATTCCACCCTTTATGATAATGTACGCCAGTTTAAAAAATGTATTTCACAAGTGTTTTAGCAATGAGTGGATACCCCATAATTGTTGTTCGTTCTGGGCATGGTTTAAAAGAAAAGTTCATGTTAGTACTAACTGCATTCTGGAGGCTTGTCTGAATAGTGACTGGCATATCCCATCTCCTTCCCCATCAGACTGCCATCATACATTGAGTTCATACCAGCATGCATACTCATGTGCTCTGGGCCTCCCATCATCCTACTCATGTGTGGATTGAACATTCCCATCTGAGAAGCCATAGGCCCTCCGTGCATTCCCCCCATGCCTGGCATGCCCATCCCAGCATTCTGAAGGCCCATGTGAGCCCCGTAACCAGACATATCTGAACTAGATCTCATGCTTGGATTACCTGGGTAATTACCTAAGCCCATACCTGCACCATAACCACTCATTTGTGCCATATCCATCTGTTGGGCATATGGGTTCATGGAGCTCATCTGACCATGAACACCCATTCCCTGAACACTCATACCCATCTGATGAGAACTCTGGGAACCCATCATGTGTGCCATGGAAGAGCCCATGTGAGAATTCATTGATCCCATGTGTGAGTTCTGGGAGACCATGTGTGAATTAGGTGTACTCATCTGGGGGGATCCAATTTGCTGGCTAGAGAGACTGCCATGCTGGTCTGATGACGAACCCTGCAGACTTGGAGATGAAGTCATGGACATGCCCATGGTCATATGAGGATGACCTGAACTCATGGGCAGATGCATCTGTGGGTTGGTTGAGCCCATCGGACCCGTACTTGACATCTGCGAGTTGGACATTTGAGAGTTTTGTGACATGAGTTGTGAATCTGAGGAACTTCCTTGAGGATTTCCAGGTGGATATTGTATATTTGGAGAGTTGCCTTTAGAAACTTCTGAACCCTGTGATCCCGAATCACTCTGTGGATTCTGCAAGCCATTCTCAAGACTTTGTCCCCCAGAGTCACTCGAGTAGCTCGGTATACCATTTGAGTTTAGCTGTGCTAAGCCTTTCCCATCTTGAGATTTGTCTGAACTGGTGGACGACGAGGAGTCTAAAACTGAGTCTTTAGAATTATTCTTCTCAGACTTTTTATCTTTGTTGTGTTTGCCATCTTTACTCTGTTCTCCCAATGATTGTCCAGAATGAGAGCTTCCAGTTGCCTGACTGGGAGATTGATTTGCTGGACCTTGTTGGGTCTGCTGTTGAGCCGGGGACTGACTACAAGAAGAATGTGCTGGAGATGACTGGTTCCTGGATGAGGCATGAGCTGGGGATGACTGACTTCGTGAAGACGCCTGAGCTGGTGACTGGTTTAGAGGAGGTGCATGGGCTGGAGAATGATGATTACTGGAGCCTTGAGCTGGAGACTGGTGATATGACTGCACAGGGGGGGACTGAAACCCGTAATGGCCAGGAGATTGCTTGTTGTGGTAGGAGTGGTGGTGGTGGGAAGAATGATGACTTGTTGTAGATGAAGCTGGTGGGTGAGACAGAGATGGAGGCTGGCTGGGGGCTTGGTATGGTATGCGGCCATATCTAATGATATCAACAATTCCTATCTCGGTTAACTGTTTGATCGCAATGTCGGCCCAACCTTTGTTCGCAGCTGGATTAATAGGGCTAGGGTGCATCAAGCATTCCAAAGTGATGCCGTTAAATTCATCAGCAGATAATGCCTTCTGTGCCTGAGCTAGTGCATATTTTCCGATGCATATGACATATTTGCACTTCAACAGTCGAACAACCTCTACCAGTGTTGCATTACACAATGCATTAATTTGGTCTAGAACAGAGGACGTTAGCTGTGGAGGTGTAACATTTTTACCGCTGTCGGTGAGAAAGGCAAAAGGACACAGATTGTGTACATAGCTTGTTCTGAAGAAATGTTCTGGTGTGTGACACAAGGTTCGAAATAATTGCCAAAAGCGTCCACCCGTGACCTCCGACCTTGAACATTCCAGTCCCACTACCCGTCTTTTGGGATGCTCCAACACCGGCTTCAAGACCTCTCCTTCAATCTGCAGCCATTCTTTCACAATGGCGCACTCACCAAAGGGCACTCCATTCTGAGACATGCCAAATGGTCCTGGATTCATACCCACAAACAAAATGTACTTTTCTCCAGTGCAAAATCTCCTGACAAAATTTAAATGAGAATCAAAAGCATACTCCAGAGGGTTGTAAACATACTGAATCTTTCCTGGAAGGCTCACTCTCGACAGTTTTTCACAAAGTTCTTTTTCAAAAATCATGTATTTGTCACTATAATAGTTGGGACTTCCGGGCTCTGGATTAGATGTAAACAAGTAAATACCACGGTTGGAGTGAAAGGTTGCTGGGTCTCTCGGAGCGGGTGTAGGAGGTCTTTCTGCTTCCTCTGTGGATTTCTTTGGCTTCTTTGGAGCTGGACTATGAACTCTGTCATCTAAAAATGGAGGAGTCCGCATCATGCTCGGTTGCAATGGATGTGGGGGGAAATTTCTACCAGAGGGACCCCCGGGTGGCAAACCTGGGAAATATGGTGTCGATAATTGCCTGTATCTGTATCGATCCAGTTCTTCTTGTGACATCAAGTCTGAGCTTTCTTTAAGTTGAAAACCAGGAATTGTTGGACCCCAACCCATTGATGGATGGTATGGAAAGGGCATCTGACCAGCTTGACTGTTTGAATAGAGCCCCATAGCTGAAGACTGCATCAGCTGAGATGATGAAATACCTCCCATGTAACGATTCACACCATCCAGGGAATTGGACGGTGGAAATCCCCCAACTTGGTTATAACCATACATAGGATAGCCATAAGACTGGGCAAATGGAGAAAATGGTGGACCTCTGGAGTCTGCAGAGCTGCTGGTACCCCCAAATGCTTGTGCATAGGGACTTGAAGATATGCTACTAGTTATGGTGCTTGGTGTGTACAGTGTTGTAGATGAATTAGGAAATGTGGGAGAGGATGATTGTTCAGAAGTTGGGGTTCCAGAGTACTGGCCATGCGGCGAGGATGCAGGAAGATTGTCCGCTGCAGCACCCGGAGAATGGGCCGTTGAGCTGGGTCTCAGGGATGAACCTGGAAAACCCAAATCAGGCATGCCATGATAGGATGAACCATATGCAGCATACTGAGAAGCCAAATTCAAATTTGCAGATAAATCACTAGACTTAGGATAACCTAAAACTCCATCTCCACTCAATCCACTCATTCCAGGTCCTCCAGAGCCACCAGCCAGGCTCCGCATGTCTGTTGAAAAAGGGTGACCATAAGGTTCAAGAGATGATGGGAGGCCGGGATGCTGAGAGTAAGTGTCCCAAGGACTTGACGACATTTTCCTGTTATTACTCCTTAAGAATGGATTGGCAGGCCAATTTTTATTCTTGTCATGTAAACCATATCTCCAAGCTTACCATGAAAAATGTCTCCACATGTTAAGTGAAATCAACACCTTCATAAATATCAGAAGTTTAAGCTCCAAAAAAGAGAAAAGGTTTGTCGAGGTATTTTGGGGGGAAATGCCCTCACCAAATTTGTTTTCCAGAGAAATTCTTCAAAGTACAGCTGATGACATTCCAGAGGCGAACATCTCCACACTTTTATCAGATAATTTAAACTGGGTGTGTTTTGAAATAGTTTCCCTCGGCTTCAGTGGAGAATCTTGAAACTCCACTTGCATCTGATGACAGAAGAGTGTACAGTTTAACAGAAATTTTTTATTCTTATTGCTAGTCAAATCTAATTATCAGGTTATTTACGATTTTGAGGATTTTTTTCTTTTTAAGAAGTGATATTGAACATTATTTATAAACAATGTAATATTTGTATTTCCTTTCTTTGACACAATTTAAATAATAAAAGAAATGTTAAAAAAATGTCTTTTCACTATCAATAAAGAAAAGAAACTTTATGGTGAAAATACGTTTTTTTCTTTATGTTTCATTTTTTTTAAATTTTAATTCAAGAATAAATATTCAATATTTTAAAGGAATGAACTTATATCTCCAGAAACACACGTTAGTCCATTCCCATGCTTTTTCCTTATAAATTGATATACTACTTATCTATACTGGCTTCTATTATAATGCAGAGGGGCTCAGTCATTTAATTATTTGTAGTATAAAAAAACATGATGCTCAAACATTAAATAGAGCGCTGCTAACTCCAGCTCACACGTTAAATCTTACCCCTGCCACTTTTGGTGTGTACCGCAAAAAAGTGGATTTTACATTTTAATTTATGTACTATAATGGAAACATATTTGGCACTCAGATAGATTTATACTTTGCAAGCTTTTTGATTGCCTCTGTTATGAAGGATGAAATACATAAAGAAACATTTGCATTTCAACCACCCCAACTTCGAACTATAGTTAACAGGTCAAAAATGTGCACTCACAATATATACCAGTGTGCTCATCTGCCTGCAATGACCTAAAATATGTATTATTTAGCGCACCCCCCCCCCCCCCACCAAAAAAAAATGTGCAAGCCCTTGACAAGAAATTTAAGATTAATTCATTTTTCAGCCTTTTTTTTCCCCCTCTTTTGCTCCAATTTTTTTTTTAAATAACACCTGCAAGGACCTAAAATATGTATTATTTAGCGCAGCCCCCCCCCCCACCAAAAAAAAATGTGCAAGCCCTTGACAAGAAATTTAAGATTAATTCATTTTTCAGCCTTTTTTTTCCCCCTCTTTTGCTCCAATTTTTTTTTTAAATAACCAATGCACTAACTGTATAAATTATGAATATATTTTAAATACAGAAGCTTAATTGACAAAAAGACAGTCTTGTTTTGGGGAAAAGTGGGAATTTTTATGCTTTGAAATTGCATCTTAATTCAGCTCTTCAAAATGTATCTTTAAATTTGAAATTCAATTTCTGAAATAAAACTATGGCATCAGCAATGCTTTTCTCCGAAGGGTTTAGAAGCAGGCAGTTTTTTTAAGGCATTTTATTTTTAGGTATAATGGGGTCCCAACTCCTGAGACATTTAATAAGGCAGCAGAATCAGGTAGGAGAGATAAAGAGCACAGAATCTGTAAGGGCTAGTCAATAAGGTAATATGGAGAGGTTATGGGGTAATGGGGGAGAATTAGTTGGGTTTGCTGGGGAAGCACAATGGTTGAGGGGGGAGGGCAGTGGATAAGGGTGTTTAAAACAAACAAAATATTCCAATTCTGAAAATGCGCATCATAGTCATACGTTTGTTTAAATATTGTACCAAAATCTCTGACCTGTTAAATAATTAATTTCATTGTGCAGTTTGAGTATTTGAATTAGCGGTGTATAATTTAACATTTGGCCTACATCTAATTTAGTTTTCATGAAGAAAAATATGTCCAGCAAACATATTTAATCTTTTATTTATTCAAAGAGGACAATTGGTTACTTTGAACTCTTAACCTTAGGTCTATAAAAAGCATAATATTAAAATAAAAGTTTAAGAATTGTTTTGAAATTCTGCTGTAAAAGCTTTCAATTTTGGTTGAATTGTGGTAGTGTTAATTTATGGGCTTATTATTTTTTTTTAATACAAAACTTGTCTTAGATGTACTCCTAAATACCTGGTACTAAAAGATGATAATTAATAGAAATACAGACCAATATTACACTTTTTGCATTAAAATTATTTTAAAATATTGCACAAATAAATTTCATTTATGATTTACACAACCATGAACTCTGATATGTTATTAGGCCAATTAGCAAACAAATAAGACCATGTTCACTGCTGATTATGAGCACTAAGTAAAGAGTGATTAAGTACAACCATTAATAATAAAATAAAAAATTGACCTATATCAAAATGTTTTTAAAACCCTAAGTTCAGCCAGTAACAGAGGGCATGTAATTGTAAGTTTAATAGTACGCCTTTTTAGATATTCTAATAACTTAAGTAGTAGATAGCGGACCTGTTTACTCTTACGATTTTGGTGTACAATGTATAATTTTGAGATGTATACATTATATAAACTGTGTGTTTATTTTTTACTATTAAGATAATGCATTGAACAATTTTGTGAGTTAATGATATTGTACGATTTTAAGAGTTTGAGGGTAAACAGGTCTGAGATAATACTAATCAAGTTTAACTTTATCAAAAGGCACACAGACAGTTATATGAAACAATTATAAAATTAAATCCTAGACATTTATTGATCAAAGTGATTTACAGTGCATACCTGTCCATGTACATCTTTGCAATAGCCTGATTTTAGATCTGAAACCTCAATTTTTATGCTGCACATTTGACGCATATAAGCCCAGGCTTCATCTGTTTCATCATCGCTATTTTCCAGATGTGATAATAGAATTAATGAACCTTTATTTGGTCCTGATGTTAACAAATCATAGAGGGTATCAACCAAATAGATTATGTCTCTTGTAGTAGCCCCTGCTCTCAGGAGGATAAATAAATCATCAACAATAACAACTGGGGCATTTGGTGATTCTAGTTTGGTAAAATTAGAAATAGATTTACCAATTTCTTCGAGAAAAAATGTAATATCACCTTTTAAAAGACTGAAAAAACTATTAGATTCAGTTGAATCACTAGGATATAGACGCACACAGTCACTTAGCAGATTTAGACCTTCTATGAAAATTAGGTTTTTGTTCTCATCCCGGGCCAAAAGTAGGTTGGTCCCAAGCTTTTGGGCAACAGTATTGTAATGACTAAAAGACTGGGACAGACCGACGAAAACTACAGGTCTCTTTTGCTTCAGACACAAGTTTAGGAAATAATGTATCAAGAAACCACCTTCCTGGGACCTATCACCGACAATAATATGCTCATTTTTAGGAAAATTGCTTGGGTCAACAGCAAGAAACTGAGAAATCTGGGCCAGCATGTTTCTCCATTTTATGTAGAAATTCTGGCTCTCGGCAATGACATATAGGTACAATATTTAAAATTAATGTGATAAAAAATAGATTTGATACTACAATATTTTTTTTTTAAATGTATAAATATAACAATACTCAAATTTATTTAAAATTGTTATCTAATTAACTCAAATTCAATAAAAATGTATTACTTAACTCGTTTACTTTTTTTCATTGCATTTTATACTGTATGACGCCACTGTCGGTACTTCCGGGGAGCGCCAGTTTTAAACTCAATATTTACCAAAGAAAAGTACCGAAGTAGCCAAAAGCTAATTATATGGGAATTATATTTCATACAATAGTGTCTTCCTAGTAAGTCAAATTGTTGGGAATTGATATCGTACACGCCTTCAATATGGCATGTTGAAACCCATATCTATTTCTTTTAACCCATTTAAAAAATTATTTTTAAGTTATTTATGTTTATTTTATTTATTGAATTTTGTTTATTATTTATTACAGTATTAGTATTAGAAATTAGAGTAAATCTTCTTAGGCAGGGCTGTTTACTTTTAGTAATCAGTCAGTAGTATTGTTTAGGCCTATGCACTATACTATTTATTGAAATTATTCATATCTAGTGATCTATCAGAATTCATTATATTTAATGGGAGTTGCCCCAGCTGCCCAGCTCAAATTTACAGGAAACACCCACCACCCCCAACCCAATGACATTATGATTGCATTTATTTTGTTTACCACCAAGTTTGAGTGATCTGCCCTTTGTTTACAGAAAAATTTTAGGGGTAATCCTGGATTTCAGCATCCCAAACTATTTTGTTTAAACTGCTGTTATTTTACTTTTAATTCCTATTTAATATTGGGTAGTAAATGTTGGTTTTAAGCGTCACTCATTTCCCCACGGCTGCCATCTTGTTGGTTGCTATGACCTCTGATCATCACTTGACATGTATCAAATGGCAATAGAGCATGAAAATGATTTTGACACAAACTGTGTACATTATTAAATTGGCAGAATGGACGCAACAGACAGGTGAACCCACTGTGGTCAAAGCAGATGAAACAAAGTATTTTTATCGCAGATACCATCAAGGCCAGAGGCGCGATGGCCCCTGAGTGTTTGGCTTGGCAGAATAAAAGAGAATTGGAAAAATGCTTTCTGGTAAAAGTACCCAAAAAACAATCGCACTGCTCCTAACACCTACTTTGACAGCTGACATTGTTGCGCATATGTTGTCTGGATTGGACATTGTTCCAGGTGGTTGGGGAGCTAATGCAAATATTTCTAATATTAATGGTATTTGCAATCATTCTGTGTTGTATGCCATCAAAAGAGCTTTGTTGATCCAGGCTCTCCATGATGTACAAGATAAATAATGGGCTGGTCCACTGTTCCAGTATTAAACAGAAACTCGTCCCTCTCCCCCATAGACAGCGACGAGGCCATGACAGGCAATTCCGGCTCATACCAGCAAGAAGCCAGTATAGGAACTGCCCAAGACAATCACGGACTGGAACAAGCTTTCAAAAGAAACAGTTGAGGCGACAACACTAGACACATTTGCGTGTATTGCCTCAAGCCTTCCAAACCCCATTGCATGATTTCTTCACAAGGTAGCACTTGTAATCATTGAAATATCCTCATCAGCACCAGGCACAGAAACATTGCAAATCCCCTCTACATGCATAGGAGCCAAAATGATCAATAAATTGATCGTGGGCCCTTAATATATATAGAAGAAAAAGAAGCTAAGTGCATGCGCTAAATGTCAAAAACATGTGAATGTTGGCAAAAAGTTTTGCATAAGAAAACTTAAGCCCTATTTCGTATGTGCAAGAATGCGTACCTTGATGGTGACATTTTCACTACATTTTTAATTGCATTTGAAGTATGCTATCCTGTGTGGAAATTTCACAAAAACTATGAGTTTGAATATATTTTTATAGACTTTCTACTTTTGATTGACTTTTTTTTTATTAAAGCTGCGGTTGCAATTGATGTTTTCATTATTATTAATGTGCTTATTGTATAATTTGGGACGATCAACTCCAGGATAACCATTTTAGGGTTTAGGGTAGGTATGGTGATAAAGCTTAGGGTCCATTGTATATATCATATTGCGATATATTTTAGGTTTCATGGGAGGCATAGACTATTAACTTTTGTGTTGGGCTCCATCTTTTGTTGTCATGTGTGCTTTCTTGTTCCGGAGTCACATAGTCATGTTTTGAACAAAGATGGCGGCCACGAAAAGGAAAGAGGATGTCAGGCTATTGCTTATTTCCTATAGACTTTGTTGACTCTGAGATTTTCTGTGTTCTTGACATGCTCACACTCACACACTAACATCATGATGCAGCACCATTTATTATGTTCTGTTTTATATGAATAAGTAGAGGCAAACCTTTGAACCCTCAATTCCATTCAAGCACCTTGGTTCCCAAATGAAATGTTATTTAATTGAAACTCATGTAGAGAATTTTTTTCCTTTTAAAAAAATGTTTAATTTTGGAAATGATCATAAATTGGCATGAAATTAATATATGCTCTTTATCATTGTAAGTTGTACTATTTTAGTCTCTGTTTTGTGACTGAAGGTAAAGATTAAATGACAAATGCAAATGAAATAAGAGTTATCTAGATTATAATGTTTAATGCTTGAATATGTTAACAATATTGAGCATAATTAAATATTAATTGTTGAAATTGATCCAAAATATCATACTTTTCATAAATTTTATGATATGATAAAAGACAGGATTTAGAGTCTGATAGCTCAGGCTCAGGTAGTAAACTTTAATACTGGGCCAGCTGTTTTGTTACTGTTTTTTGTATAGTATTAGCTATTATTTGTGGCAGTGTGGGTCCCTTTTTTATGAAACAGTGTTCGCACTCAACACCAACACTGTATTAAAATTTGACCTTGCCCAACACGGGATTGGAATGTTGACCTCGGCTCAGTTTCACCCCATTTAGTATGACAGTGACAGGCGTCTCTCCTCCATGACATAGAATACTTAAATATTGGGAACCACTAGGTGTGCTTTAGTTATAGTTATAAGTTCAATAATTTATTTCTCTGGGACCCTAGTGCATCATGCTATGAATTATATCTGGTTGGAAAGGGGATTTTTTATTCACTATACTTTATTTATATTTACAAGTCTCCAACGGTATAGGATATTTTAATATTAATTAATTAATTAAGGGAGTTTTCACATACATTCATGAGGGGTCCCAACCCATTTTATTTAAATATCTCAAAAACCATTTAACTCGTAGAAATATAAGAATGTATCTTAGATAAAATAAAATGAGTAAAACAGAGTAGGGTTAAACCTGAAAAAATAAACGCAACAAAACAGCGAACGTGTCGGCAGAAAGCCTTCGTCAGCGAACAAAACAACAGAAAAAAACAGTATAAAAATAAGAAATAGCACTTAGCTGGTAAGTAGTATCTGTGGGTAGCAATAGAAGTGTCGAATACTAGGGAGTTGTTTTATTTGAGGTTTTAACAGCATCCCTGAAGTGTGTCATTGTACACTGCGGCCCATTTGGACGCTCTGTAAGTAGAAGCAAATGAGCCTTTATATTTCTGTGTTTGTAGAATGCAATTCTTAAGTGTTGGTAATGGAATATTTCTGTTCATGACTATATTGGGCAATATTTTAATCACTGGTTAGCTCCGTCACTTTGATGTGCAGTCATGATATTATAACAGTTGAACATACAGCGTTCACTGAATTCTTAAATGGGATTAGATACCAGTGTAAGTGAGCATAACACACAACAGTTATATCGTTCTGGTTACACATACTGCAATGTGCTTGTAAGCTATGAATACAACAGTATACAACCAGCGAATATACGTGAAATATGTGCAGTAGACTAACTCTCCTGCCTTGTGCTAAATTCTCACATAGTCACATAGGAAATGGTGTAAGTGTTAGGAGACTATTACCAGGGGTATTAATATAATTAGACATTTCACAAATTTGCTTTTGTCTTAAAAAGACACAGCGATTGAGTGATGCAAGTATCTAACAGTGGTTATACCTCACATCATTGTAGTACCTGTCCTGCTATGGGTGCATCTTACATAGACACTAACATAGACGACAGTACCATAGTATTTTTTAGAACTTTATGTTAGCCCTCACATTGGTTCTGTGTGTAACACAGTGTACGTGTTACAAGTTAAACACTGGCACATGATTTCTTTTATAATTAAACATAATTAAAATAATATAATTTTATTGACGTTTGTATAACATGTACTACGCTATCCTTAGTTGTCACAACCTATAATTATGGCATTGTTTAACATGTTTATTATTAGTAATACTAATAACATTTTTTAGTTATGTTAGTCAGGAAATTTTTAACCTGTACTATTTGTTTCTTTATAGATACCGGTTTTGTCCTTTTTCTTTGGGCTTTTTCTTAGGCTTGTTTTCTGCAGCATTTGTCTTTAGTGTTCAAATAAAGCTATAGTCCTCAAGACCTGAATTTCTTTAGTGTACCTGGTATAGTAGTAAAACCGTCAGTCTTGTTCATCATCACCACACCACCTTGCTACAGTTTTTGGCACTGCGAGCAGGGTTTTAAAAGTGTGTCACACACACTCCGCACAACTCTCAGTAGCCACCATCCCTCATCACACTACTACATATTATTATTAAGGTGGTTTTATATAGCCCAGTACCCCAGCCTAGGGCTAGGCTCACTGCGCTTCACATAAATTTTAGCAATTACAGAAAATTATACATTTAAAAACAATTGGTAAAAAGCTTAACCTCATCCATCCACCCAAGCATTATCTACCCCAGGCTCGCCATGGACAGCACCCAGCAGCATCGAGCACAGTTTATCAGTTGGGGGGGGGGGGTGAGAAATGAGTCGGTATAGTACAGTTTAAAGAGATGGGCCTTAAAGGCAGTTTTGAAGGCGGTGGTGATCGTTATATTGCAGATGTGAAATGGGTGAAAATTCAATTGTTTGGGGGCACAGAAAGAGAAAACTCCCTCGACCATATGTTTTAGTGCATGTCTTGGGAATGGANAGGAACCAGAGAAAAAGTTGTGACGGAGAACAGACATCTTGTAATCAATGCGTGCCTGTAAAGGGAGGAATGAGAGGAGTGAGATATATATATTTAAGATTCCTTTTTTTTTTTTTTTTTTTCTGTTTCAGATTTCTCTTACTACAACTCCCTTAAAATGCAGTTTGAAGTCCCAATGCTTTCAGTTGCTGAACTGTTGCACAGCATGAAAGAGACAAATATTGATTTCTCGGAACGTGACTTAACCAATCCAGATGTAAATATTTTATACTTTTTTTATTACCAGTAAATCAGGCTAAAAATAAATTATAAAGATGATAAAATAAGTACCTGTATTTCTAAGACACCCCTTATGACACTGTAACCAACCAACTCAAACTTTTCATTTGTCAATAGATAATGAATTATTCAGTTTATTTATACTTTCCTATTTTATATCTTCAGTCTTCTCTTTGATTAGTAACTTTTTAATGTTTATTGTTTTATGATTTTTCTACATGCACCATCATAACTACCTGGATTTTTTAATGATTTTATTTCATACTCATTTAAGGACTGACCTTAAAACACATAAATATGAAATGTTGTGATGCGAATTTCTTAGCGTATGGCTATGCCATTTGATGTATGAGATGTAATGTACTCAACCATCTATTACATTTTTTTTACATTTTGCAGCCTCGACACTGGCATTACATTTATGGTGCTATGTTTGAAACTTTGACTGAAAAATCTATTGACCAATCCATTCAGGTAAGATATTGCTTTTTTTTTTTTTTCTTTCTTGAACTTATGCTTATTCAAAAGTTAGATGAGGGGTCCAAACTTGTGGTAGCCTTCCAACCTCTCTCCTTTCTGCAAGGAAATGAATGTAACATTTTTTAATATGTCATGAAGATTTATGTAGGTGTATTGCTAAGTGGCCCATATTATTATCCACATGCAGCCATTCAGCTAGTTTAAATTTGAGACCCCCTAAGATGAATCATGCTTTTCAGAATGCATCCCATAACACTGTTATGATTTTACTTAATAATCTTTTGTTGCAGTCAATGTTAATGGTGGTTAAACTGCACACAGAACATTATGACATTTTTGAAGAAGGATTTTCTCAGTTGGCATTTACCACATGCATGTAGGTACTTTTAACTCTTAGTGTCCGTAGGTCAAATGCACATTTTGAGGCAGTAATTTTGTTGACCCTAGGTGACCATAGACAATATTTCATAACTTTTCTAGTAAAATTGCGATAAAAAACACATTCCTTGCACATTTGAAAAATGTAAACATGTGGATGTGGAAATATTGATTTGAACAAAATACCGAAATATTTATATAGAATCCCTAAATGAAAGAGTCACTATGAAACACCAAATAGACTGGCTGGCGTCAAAACGTGACCGTCAGAAAGCCAGTTAGACTGGCGCGTCGGACTTTAAGAGTTAAACTAGGCCTGAAAATAACAATACACAATGTATGTCCGTAGTTTTTTCATAGATATTTATTTTAACACCAGAAAACAATCCTTTAATGTTTACATGGGTTTTTTGGGGTTGTTTTTTTGGGTTTTTTTTTTTTGTGTTCATAAGAACATTTTTATGGAAATAATCACCTTGCTTTGAGTTCAAGACTAACTTATTTTTATATTATGCAGTTTATTGCACACAAAAGTATCAAACCTATTTAGTCCAATTATCAGAAATGCTTTTAACATTATAAAGAAAAAGTTGAGTTTAAAAAATGAAACGATGACTGAAAATTAATAGTACTAATCATAAATAATTTATTACTATTCATTCATTTAGTTCTCATTATGCTAGAGGCATTCATCAAGTTAAAATAATGTTGACTTTTGTTTTGCTAGACTACATTTCAACATGTTCAGAAAAATTAGATATAGTTATTGGACTGCCTACTTTAAATAATAACCTATGCAGCAATGAATTTCATAATATAACTTTCCTAAGCTTAGAAGTTCCGTTGCATCAACTTCATTTTAATTGGAACAATAAGTAGTGCTTAGTACAGGGGTTGGCAAACTTTTTGTGTGCAGGGCCCTGTTAAGAAATATAAAGCTATTTTGGGTAGGCTGCATGTATATTATGTCCAATTTTTACATGTTGATAAACATTTCTCTATATTAAAATCAGTAAATTCGCATCATACATGACAAAAGTCATGGACTGTTTTTTAAAAAAAGAAATTTGATTTAAAAAATGTTAAAACAATCATAACAGTACATGAAATTCTATAAGATTCACTAAAATAACTTAAAAACAAAGTAATTTTTTAATATTTATAAACTAAATTCCGTCGAGGGCCGCATAATATCAATTGTCAGGCCACATGCGGATCATAGTTTTCCCACCCCTGGTTTAGTAAATGTTCCACCTCCTAAAGACAGCTATTTTTACTTTCTCAGATAGACAAAAATGAACATCATTTCCAAATTTGTTTTTTTAAAACACACCCAATGTCAATCAATTGTTCTGATAAACTCACATTTAGATTATTGAAGTTGTTATATTCATTAACTTTAATATTTCCTAGAGATGTAGAATATTTTACCTAATTGTTTCTGATTTAGTGTGCTTGCATTTTTTGTTTTATTGATAATTTTGCAGGTCAAGAGTTATGATTGCTGGGTTTTTTCGAGACTTTACTTTAATGGATGTAATTCAGCTCAGTGAGTAAATTATCTTATAGAATAAAGCCTGCAATCACCATTCTCTATTTTGTTTTACTCGCCATAGTTGATAGCTTTCCTTATAAAAAAAAAATATGCATCAAGTCAACTTTTTTTTTTTCTTTAATTAGTTAAGTATATGTTATAAGTCAACTGATTCAAGTCACATAATAATAGATGACCATTGAATGTTTAAATTAATTTTTTTTTCTGTGGACATAATGAAGAAATTTCACCATGCATTAAATGTGGAATCATGCTATAAAAATTGAAATTTGCTCATGTACAAATAGTAATACATGCTGTTTTCTGTAGCCCCAGGGCGTGCTAAGCGATTGTCAAGTAGCTTTATCAACATGCTGCGGCACTGTCAGAATATACGAGTTGCTTTTTATGAGATGATTGAAGATATTGTAAGTTGTGTTGAGTTTTAAATCATATCTGTTTCGAATTGCTTTCTGGGATAAGTAGTTCAATAGCTTTGTTGTCTAGGGGTAATTTTATTAAACTATTCTGCTTATATATGACAAAGTCATCTTTGTAGGACATTTGACTAAATTTGAATTTGGTTTTTTAGTTTGAGAAGCAATTCCTGATTGATTTTTTATATCAAATTATTTGCAATTTTATGTTTTCTATATTGAACAGAAAAAATCAAGGGATCAAATTGAATTTGACCTAAAAAGAAATAGAGATCTAAAAGAAAGTTTGGCCAAAGGCATTGAAGTGGAAGAGCCTAAAAAAGCCTTGAAACAAGAGGTTACTTTCATTTTCTTTTGTTTCAAATATATATTATCCAAAAAAGATTAATGAAATTTTATATATACATATATTTTTTATTATTTTTGCAAAAAAGTATTACCAGTCTAATTTTTATGTGCTTGTCTCCTAAGATAAAAAGAATTTAATTTATTTGATGCGCCATATGTATGTCATTAAAATCTGTTTGCAGCTTCAAAATGAGTTTGAAGCTGAGCGACAATGTATTTGTGAGTTGAAGAAGCAAAGTGAGAGTGAAAAAAAGACTGGGAATGTGCTAAAACTTAATGTTGCAGAAATAGAAAAAGAGAAGGTGGGTATTATTATCAATACATCCAGTTTGCTCAAGTACTTTTACTGATCTTTTAAAAAATGTTGCCAGCAAATAGATGTAGGAGTACCAATATGTAACTTATTGTAACGCTCTTGCTTCAAATTTAGTGGTTTTAACCAGATTTGTATAGGAATCAAAATAGATTATATTTTTATACGTGGGCATCCATCAGTTGGGATAGTGTAGCTGTTTTAGGATTTTTTAAAAATGAAGAAATAAAGTATTGCACATTTTAATATTTATTCCCGCTGATGTCTAACATCAGCACAAATTTTTTCTAGCATGATAAATACTTATCATGGGCTCTGTGTGGTATATGCACAATCCCCCTTTGTTTTTAGGTAATTTGGACCTTGGTATATTTTTGGCTGAATTTTTATGTTGGATATTCTAATTTGTACCTCTTTCTTTGTTGTCTGTGAATCAATTTCTATTTATTAGGAGCGTCTTAAACAAGCCCTAACGGAAATCCAACAAGAATGTGACAAAATGTCTCATAAGATTGTACAGTCGCCAAAGAGATTTAGACATGAGCAGGAACGGTACAAAGCAAAAGTGACAGATCTCAAGAATGAACTAATAACCAAGGAGCGGGCTCTTTCAGAGAACAAAAAGCTGTTGGTAATGATGTGTTATTGTTGGTTTTTTTTTTTTTTTTTTTTTTTTTTAAGAATTAATTTTTTTTGGTTTTGGGTGTTTTTTTTTTTTTTTTTTTTTTTTTTTTTTTAAGAATTAATTTATTTGTGGTCTGGGTGTTTTTTTAATTGTAATAACAAAATTAGCAATTGTAAAAAGATAATTTAACTAAAGATAACAATATGCGATTTTGTGTAACCAGCCAAAAGATAGAATAGATTACCCTGTGAACTTATTTTAACTATAAGTTGTTAATGATAATGGTTTGAAAAATTTTAACCATTTGCTGTTTTCCACTGTCAGGAACAAACATCTGAGAGGTTACAGGCAATAACAAAGGCTGTAAAATTGGGCAGAGACGTATTAAGTGATCTTGAAAAATCTAAGTAAGTCTTGCTGGAAGAGCACTTAGAAAAAAGACCAAAATTATGATTTTTGTGCAATTTTTTTACTTCATTCAAAAGGGTTAGAAAATGCTTTTGAAAAATGTTTCAACAAAGTATTTGAAAATTAAATTGCCTGAATGTTAATAACCCTTGTGGTTAATTCATATACTTCAACTCTAATAAATCTCCAGTGAACTAGATGTTATGATTCAGCAGCAATCTGATATTTACCTTGAGAATAAAGATAAGTATAACTCCACTGTGGCTAGAGAAGAAGACATAAAGGATAAGCTGTGTATAAGGAAGGAGCAGCGCCACAAGAGCTTGAGTCAAATTGATTTAAACAGAGAGTCGACTCACCATGAACTAACTAATCTTAAACAGTAAGTTTACTTTCACTCTTGGTCAACAGCAAGATTTCATAGATGAGATGCTATGACACCAGTGATGCCAAATCCATCTGTCATAGGCGATATCTTAGAAAGTCATTTTACTGTCATAAAAACTGCTTATATTTAATGTTATCTTTTTACATTTGGTACTATGGCTGAATATTGAAATATTTGTTGCCAACTGCAGTAGTTCTTTGGAATTTTTTTTTTAATAGTTGGATATAATTTTTAGGCAAATATTGTCTGAAACATAGTCGGTATGGAGAAAATATTTCATGTTGCTTACAAATTTAAGTACAGTACCTGTATTTTGCATACCCAATAAAATGTTCACATGGTTATTTTAATTTTATTTAAGGCAACGATGTAAATTAGAAGAGAGTTTGAAAGCCACAAAGTTACAATGTTCTCAGCTACTTAGCCAGCAAGCAGTGATTTTAACGGAAATTGAAGAGTTGGAAGCTTTATTTAAAGCAAGAACTGAAGAATATGAAAACAAGTGTGTGGAGATTTTTGAAGAGGTAACCTTTTTGTTAAAATGGAGGAATTATGTATTCTGTGTGTATTTAAATTTAAGGCTTGATCTGTTAGGCTATTTCAGAGTACCATAGTTATATATGGGGTGTTGATATTTGGCAAATTTGATTCAAATTCACGTACCGTTAACTTGACTGTTTAAAAAAAAAAAAAATTTGCATTGCAAGAAAGCCCTTAAGTAGATAATAAGACACAATTTGTGTTGATCCTATAAATGTCTAATGCATTTTTTGTAGCGTCTAATGAAAAATGTTTACTACTCATATTCTGAATTCATCCCAACCTAATGCATCATAAATTGTTCAAGCTATCAAAAATCAAGTTCGAGATACCAGTACTAAAATCCATATTCTTTCAGAAAATGTCAAGTTATAGGCAATGTTACTTTTTAAGCTGCGCAGCTTTCTCACAGGCACAGCAGTTTTGAGTCCTTACAGGACAAGGCTAATACACTGTTAGATGCTCAAGATATTTTCTTGTTACCAGTACCAGTTGCTATTTATTGTTTACTATGTTTCATTAACTGTTTTTCAGATCAATTCAATTAATGAGAATGTAATACAAGAGACTACAAAGGTTAAATCTGGTTTGATGGATGAAGATGTGGGATGAATGTTTGTTCTTTCTAGCTGTTCATTTAAATACATAGACAGCCGACAAGAAATTAGTTTTTAAAAAATCAAAAAATTTCCATTGGTTTACTTTCAGTTTGATTCACTCTACACTCAGTTTACATATTATTAAATTCATTAGTTTCAGTTTACAATAATAGTATGATTTCTGTTTTAACGAAATGCTCATGATCCTGCACAAATAAAAGCTGGAATTTAGAAACAGCTCTTACCTATTTTACATACCATCATCCCTATTAACAATAAATTACATTTTTGGATCCCACCCTGCGTCTATATAATATTGGGTTTCTTCTACACACCACCGTACCACCTATTTCAATTAAATTGTAAGAATATTTTTTAATTAGGAAATTAAACTGCCTCTCTAATAAACCACATTAAAAGTTATGACACAGGTATTCTCCCCTTTTATAACCGCCTCTCGCTGTTTGGAGTTGTGAGTTAAGCCATACGAAATAATTGTGGCTTAAATTACATCCTAAATATGGCAAGTTGTCACTTGACTAAAAAGAAATGTTCAAAACTTTGTGATATTTTGATGGACACTGAAAATATTTAGAAATCATGTATTTCACATATTTTTAGTTGACTGAAATGTAAATAGGCTATTTATGAGCCATCAAAAGTTGAGGATAATTATTGCAGATTTTCAGCACTTTCTTCTTAGACCTCCACAAACACAAAATCTCTTAAATCAGCTGCCACCTAGTCAGTGTATCCAAGTTGTATGTAATGTTCATCCATCTCACTTGAAGATGACCATGGTAATTTTCAACTTGAGTAGTGGCCTTGACTATTTTGTTTAAAGTAAGGGAGAGTTTCTCAATTCCTCAGCCTCACTCTCTCATGTTTGAGTCAATGGCAAGATGTAGTCAGGACGACTGGAAATAGACCAGGATGCTGTAGATATCAGCGTTGTTTTTTTTCCAAGTTGTAATATATGTATGGCCTCAGACTTAACCTAAGCATATTCCAGTGGTTATCAGTATGTGAAGTGAATTGGTGCTATTGAAATTTCTGTCATTGGTATGCTTTGTAAATTTAATTTTTTGTAACAGCAATTCAAGATAAATCTGCAACATTTGAACTGCATGTTCAAAATTATGTTTCTTATTTATTTTTTTTGTAACATTGTGTACATGATGTTTTTATTTCTTTGTCGTACCAGTAACTCAAACTGACATTGTAAGTAAAAGTAAGTTAATATTTAAAAATCACTAGCTGAAACCATTTATAATTGAAGTAAGAAAGATGCATGTAAAGATTTGCTTTTAAATATGAAATTATTTTGCGTACAAAAACATCTTACTACATTGCACATGTCAAGGAATTCTTTCAAAATTGACAAAAATGAACTCTAGTTAAAAGTAATAGTTTTAGTAGAGATGTTAATATTGTTTTTTGGCAAATTGGTTTTAGGAAATCCAGTTTTAAACTGTTTATCAGTGAATATCAGTTGTTGTTTTACATTTCTAACTGTTCCACATAAAAATGTCAAAGCAACTCATTTTAATACAATTTAAATGTTACCCTCACTTTACTCATTTTGTAATCAGTTACCAAACTGCACTTACACAAACTTGTTAATTGATAATGATATCTAGTCCCATAGCAGAATACCCGCTTTTAAAGTCTAAATTTTTAATAAAATATCTTTTTTTAAATAGGGGGTGTCAAAACTCCTGTTTATACTAGATTGGTTAATTTATTAGGTTCTATTACATATTGTAATACGTCATACTAGCACTGAATCAACCCAAGTCCTTTTTCATAATAAAAGCAAAACATTAACTATCATTCATTTCATAGTCTTAATTCCATGTACACATGTATAATGCAGCTCACTATCTGAATTATTGCTTTGTTGAAATTGTTTACAACAGGTTATCATTTAGCATCCTTTGTTATTAGTCTTAAACCAAAGGAAAGGTTATACTCAAGTTATACATTGTTAAAAAAATAAACATTTGTCCACAATATTTAGTTTAATTCATATGTGACAGTTATTAAGAAACACATTATATGAATCAATTACCCAGTACTAGTTGCATAAATAGTTATTTTAACAAGACTATTACCGGTACCATTAATATTAACAAAACTGCAAGGACATACTCTTTGTCATAGCAAGTTAAACAGATAAAATTGGGTGTTGCCAAATGTTTATAGAAAGAAGACAGCTAAGCTAAAGAACAATATTCCATCACCAGTCAATTCTAATAATGCATAAGTGACACTTTGCTGGCATACAAAAATAATAAGTGGAAATAGAAGAAGTTATCTTTATGCTCTCTGGCTACTTCATATTAGCCAAATCAACAAACCTCAAAAGCCCTGGTCATACACATTAGGATACCACTCAGGATGAAACTGACATTAATCCGTGAAAATGGCGAGATCTGCTTGAGAATTGACAACTTTACTTTTATATTTACCATCGGGTTAACTCGGTGGTCAGCAAATGGTGGCTCTTTAGCGATCTGAATGCGCCTCTGCCACTAATCGGTTTTGACTCTCAAAAACATGGTTCTTGAAAAGAATTTGGCTCTAGATAAATTTAATTGTCCTGCTGATTTTCGGCTCTTTTGACTAATGAGCTTGCCAACCACTGGGTTAACCATTTACGAAGGAATTCAATTAAAATTGCCTAATTTTAAATTGTTGAACAGTTTATTTGGTTTTAACAGGATGAGTGATGGCTCACGGGGGAAAAAATATGCTTTTTGATAAAGTAGAATAATGTATGTGGAAGTTTGAATCAAAAGATAAGGACATTTCGGCTCAGAGCCTTCTTCATTGGACAGGACAAATGAAAATATGACAAGAAATGGGAACTAGTTTAAAAAAACTCAAGTGATAATCATTGTTATTTTGATTTTTTTTTGAAGTTGAATTATCCAAAACCAAAATTTCAGGAAGTAAAAGAATTAATACCGGTACTGTAAAAAATATGATCTTAACAGACAAAAAAATTAGAGATAATATAAAATGCGGTAAATGAAAAGACATACATGAAAATTGATGATCATTAGAATAAGAGTATTTGGTTAATTCCAATTTGTGATATTGTGCCAAAAAAGTCTGAATTAATTTGTTTTCCCGTCTACTAAACCTCTCAGGTGTGATGGTACAGGAATTTAATGCTGTGATGGATACATCTAATAATCTAATGTCCCTTTAATATAACTTATAAGTATAACATGGCTTCACTATGACCTGGATGCAAATATAGTGCAAATTAAGAAGTGAATCCAAAATTAAGTGAATTAAAAATCTCAAGGCCTAATGCCTCTCTAGCCCAGGGGTCTCAAACTCGCGGCCCGCAAGATGATATTTTGCGGCCCGCTACAGGACAGCAAAGTTTAGTGTTAATGGGGCCCGCAGGTTTCTGCATTCTCATATATAATGTGACCCTCCGTGACAGTTTCAGTCAAATCTCACCGACTAGTCAAGTCTGATTTTTATTATGTTTGTATAGATTTGGACGTTGATTATAATGGTAAAAACCATTTAAGGGGGATTTGCAAAAAGTTTAAAAGTCATTTAGTGAGTAATGCACAACCATAATTTTGAAGATCATAGCAATATGACACAGTATAAAAAATTTCCTATTAAAATTACTGCTGGTGTGTACCAGTGACGAGTAAATAAATTTCCGAGCCTATCAGCTTGGTCACTTTCAAAATAGGGCTGGTCCAAAAGCCTTTTCTACAATAAAAAATAAATTAAAAATTCATTCTCCCTGCAATAGCATCTTCTTTCGTATCAATAATTCATTAAATATTGCCTGCTCCTGCCTACTATTTAAACATGTTTTAGCTTTTAACACCTACGTGTACTAAGTGATCCAAAATGGGCTTAGCTTTTCTTGTTGACATTATACAGGAGCTGAATGTACTCAACAGAAGTTACAAGACCATGGGCAGCTTGTCAGTTTTGCCTATGACAATGTCAGGGCATTCTGCATTAAATTTGTGTTATGGAAAGCCCAGTTTTCTCAGAGCAACCTCTGCCCATACCAACAGGCAAATACTCATGGACTCGGGCAAAATATTCAGTACCAGTAGTAATTATACAGATGCCATTGGAAAGCTACAGGAAGAACTTCAAAACACACAAAGCCACTTTTCAAATTTTTAACGACCCTTTCTACTTTCATGTGGAGATGCCGCTGCACAACACCCCCCCCACGCCTTTTTTTCTTTTTCACTTCAAATGGAGCTGATTGATCTTCAGTGCAATTCTAAGTTCAGGGAGGTGAATGGAAAAACATGGACAATTGATGAGAGCATTGCCCTCCACCTTCCCTGAGATTTCCATGTTGTACAAGTGGATCATATGCCTTTTTTGGTAGTACCTATCTGTGTAAACTCTTTTCCACTATAAACTTTAGCATGCCAATGTTCAGGGCCAAACTTACTGATGAACATCTTCAAGCTCTACTGAGGATCTCAGTTGCTTCCTCACTCAAGCCAAATATTGCTCAGCTGTGTAAGAAGAAGTGATGCCAGGTCTCTGACAACAAGAAGTAGGAGGAAGTAAGTGAATTCTAGTTCTTGAGAACCCTTAATATTTTTATTTGTTATTAACACTTTACCGGGCAAAACGACCAAAAACATCTTTAGTACTAGTACTGAACGGGCAAAAGCATCTGTGAGAACACAGAGTTGTAAACTCGTGAGCTCCGAGTCTTTGCGAGACTTCCTATTGTTTACATCCGGTTTTTCCAATAGCTGGATAAAGTGGGCGCCAGTTACAAGTATTTAATTGATTTTTTTTGTAGATTTAAATTTAAGGGTTTAAAATAAAAGATTTCAAAATGTATTTTGCCGATTATTCAAGTGATTTCGCTGGATTCAAATTAAGTGTCACTGAAGTGCTCGAATCGACTATAAATTGGAACTAGATATTTATATTATTAGTAATATTAGTGAAATCAGCGTACCGGTAGTAAGCAGTTTTGAATTTTACAAACTTCGATTTTGTGGCAGTGTTTGTCAATAGTAGATAGATAACTCACAATTACAAACAATGTGTTGTTTTTTGCAAATATTTGTGTTTATATGAGGATTAATAGCAACATGTGAGTAAAATTATAAATCTGCATTCATCTTCCTTTATTTTGCTTTTTATTTCACAAAAATTTGTTGACTAACACCTTTAAATTAGATTTGATTTTTTTTACTAATGTAACCCTAAATCTTACTAAAAAACCGGAGGATTGGTGCTCGTTTAGGACTAGCAAGAGGAAGTACCTCTACCCTGTAAATAAGGGTTAATCAAGGTTGAGCAGATTGTAACAGTTGTACTTAATTGATTTGTAATCGATTTTTGTGAGGAATACTTGATGCGCCCAGTCTCACTCAGATTCTACCTCCTGTGGCCCCCGGATGATTTGAGTTTGAGACCCCTGCTATAGCCTCTCTGTACTTTCATGTACTGTATCCCAAGCATCCCAGTTGAAAAACCATTCAGGTAAAAAGTGAAATTCTGTGTCTTTGCTGTGTCTTTGATATGTCACTGGTGAGCCTGGCTGCCACTTAAATACATACACACATCTAAAAAAAAAGATAGAAGATTATGTGTTGTATTTAAAGTTAAATTACTGTACAATGTTTCTCATAAAGAAGTTATCCATACGGGTATACAAATGATATACCAGTAGTAACATAACTAAAGTATTTATTATGAAATATAATCTGGATCACTGAATCAAAACCATGTGAAATGAATGACCTCAAAGTGGGGTTTAAGGTACTTCATTCAAATAGGAAAAAGATATGGCAGATAATTTTGTATAAGAATGTGTCTTATTGATGGCCCTTGGATGTATGGCAATATTTGCATAAAATAACAAAGAATTAATGCAAATCACAAGTTTAAATTAACAAAATTGTCAGTTACTAGGCCTATTTTAATTATAAAAACATTCACATTAGATTTCCTGTGTGCTTTGAATTTGTGTAAATGCACAGTGTTAAACTGTTTATTTTATGAACAGACATAATAAACTGGGTATTAGTACTCACCTGTCGCTTGTTTCTGTCACATTTGTTTTAACAAACTGCAAAAATTCATTGAGAAAGTTAAAGCACACTGTTGGTCTCCAGGGGTTTTTCAAGGCAGCCTGTGCAAAAGGATGTTAGTTACAGTTACAGTAAACAATTTTATAGGAGAATGGAACAATATATAAATATAATATGATTCCATTAAAATGTCAGTTTCATTAAGGGAATGTTTTCAAATACCGTAGCCCAAGATTTGTGATAATTTTGTAAATGGGATGAATGCATGAAGCTCAACTCATAGAAAAGTTAAAAAGTAAATTACTAATATTATACAGTTTACCCCCCTTTTTTTTTACAAATACTGTAGTTGTTAGTAGACAAATTTCATTTGCTAATTCAAAAGTAGCTTAATTAATCTTCATTATACCGTTAATAATAACAACACAGCTTTTATTTCAGATGAAACTAATTCTAATTTCAGGAACAACCAAGATTGTCCAACTGACTACATCTAGAACTTATAAGCTCATATTCCACACAGCTTTGGCTGTTTTAAAACTATTACCAATTGAACATTTTAATTACGGTAACTTATTGTCTAATTTGTAAACATTACAATCCTACTTGAACCAAGCGTGGTATTTTGGAAACGGAATAATCTTCCAACTTTTTTACAACACCGTTATCATCTCGAAATCCGCAAACAATGCTTGGAATGCCAAGCACGTAACTTTGGGCCCACCATTTTAAAAGTTTGAATCTGGATTTGAACAAAAAAAATCTATTTTATATACATGATAAATAAATCTAAAAAAAGCATGAGATTTTAAGAACTTCTTTTGTCAGTGTCATGACTTAAACAAATTTACCACTACAGTACCCGGTATAGAAAATGGTAAAACTTAGAAGGGCACCAATAATAACTGCAATAAATTCTACATATTCCTTCCCTCCATTGAGCACAGTTTTTTTTTTCCTATGTAAAAAAAAATATTCTTTATTCTTGTTATTTATGTTTAATTGCACAATTAACAGCAATATGCTGTACAGGCATAAGTGTACTGGTCAAATTTTATTATAAGCTCATATAAGAGAAGGCAAACTCTGAAAACAAAAACCCAGAGATGGAGTCCAGTAGATTGTATGACATTGATACAAATACGTACAATATAATACAATTAAAATGAACAATTCTGACAACTCCTGCAATTTAGAATGCATAAAGAGCACAGTTAACCACACACAAGACAAACTGCTGGTCTTATGCTACATGCTGGTCTACTTCTTGACCAAGTCTTGCCATTAAATCAAATAGGCAAGGATGAGAGAGTGACGCTGAATAATTGAGCAACTTTCCCTCACTTTAGACTTTAAACAAAAGACAGCTCAAATCAAGGCTACTAACTACTATTCAAATAGAAAATTGCCAGGTTCATCGTGAGAAGGACAATCAATAATAATATTAATTAATAAGGTAGTAATAAGCAAAAATTTGACATACCTGCAAAAGTTTTCATACTGTCTCTGAGATTCAATAATCCGAGAAGTTTTGAGCTCCACATAATTGTTGCCATTTTTGCAATTGACATCCTCACAATCAACTTCTGCACCAAACACTGAAAGGGAAAAAACAGGTAATGTTTGTTGGGAATAGAGACACATGGAATATTTGTTATATAAGAATATTATTACCAAATTACTGGGAATGAATTATAAAGGATACATAATCAAATGTTTTTTTTGTTTAAGTACATTTTAGTGCATTAGAGATTGATGATTTAATTTAAATATATTCTTAAATGTGAATAGTAAATTTAAGTGCAAATTAAATTAATTGGATATGAAATGTTTTTAAAATTTACATCACTGTTTTCTACATACATAAAAAAGAAAATTCAATCCCTATACTATAACTATAATCGGCTAGTATAAAATAGTTTCATCCCCCACCCCTATATACACTGCTAGGTTTAAAGTTACCAAAGTATCGTTCTACCACATTTACTTCAAGTAATAGCTCGGAGAGATGTTATAAATGCTCACTCTTGATATTGGAGTAAAAAACCTGTTTGTAGATTTGGAACCGGTACTCATTTGTACCACAAGACTGAATAGAATGATTCATTGCACTTGTTCAGCATTTAATGTTTAAATATCCAGTCATATTTGAGCAAGATCTATACTATAAACTATAAGATACCAGTATAACAATGGGTAAACAAAACAAGTGGTTTTAAATTTTAAGTAGTTTTTACTTGTAGTGCACATCTAAAATCTAAATAAATTTTTACATGCCATATGTTTCCCTAAATTGTTCCTTTAAGAGAGCCTTTTGGGACCACCTACCCGAGGATGGATGGTAGAGTTTCAGTTAATTCAATTAAGGCAACAGGCAAGATTTGTTATACAGTTACTGGTATTTGAAATGCATATAGTATGCTGAAAAAAACATTTACTCAATGAATGATTTGCAAGACGACTACAAACAATGCTGCCAAATTCCGCATTGGTGTTTACGGGCAACTCTGCATTTGGAACAGCTCCAGTCTTATCTGCGAAAATAAAAAATAGCAATAAATTCTTTGGAAAAAGTTGTTAAGTATATAACAAAGTAAGCCATTTTAAAAGTGTTAATTATCAATACCTATAAGGGGCCATCCATATACCGGTACCAGTAATACATACACACAGAAAAGTAAAAATTCCTTCTATTGCACACATACTTTTTATACAAACCCCTACCCCCCCCCCCCCCTATTCATCCATATAATAAGTTTCCCTCCCTCCCCCACCCACAAAACAAAACACCACAAAAATTAATTTATTTATACATAATTATGATGCCACAGTAAAACAATGTGTCACAGTTTTCACCACTCTTTGATATATGGAACATACAAAAGAGCCATCCCATAAATGATGACATACTATTTCAGCAGATTTTTTTCCTTTGCCAAACCCCCTTATGGTCACAAATTATATACGGTACATGTACCAAACTTCAACACAAATTCGTGGACCCACCACCTCCCCACACAAACACACTTCCTACACACATGTGAAATTGTTTGTGATAGCTTAAAAAGCGAATGGTGGACTAATTATCACTGTTGTTACCATACCACTAATGCGAAATCTAGCGTGTTCACTTGTGAAAACACAAAGCAATATTTTAACGACAATTACAAAACACTGCCTGATATTTTTTTGCATTAGCAATATAAATAGGCTATTTATGGGCTTTCATTATTTCAGGATAATTATTTTATTTGGTACTGGGTATGAATAAATGTAGATTCTTTCTGTCCCCCCACCTCCAAACCCCCACCAGCCATAAGCATACGTAAGCAAAATCTCCAGAATCAATAACCCCCTCAGTGTTATAAGGATAGCCCCTAATTTCTTAATCCCAAGCTTTAGATTAAATGACTTTATTAACTCATCTAATATATCTTTACCTATAATACTAATAACAGCTATAGTAATCATAATTTTAACCATCAAAACTTCCCATAATCAGGTGTCATTGCTATCTAAACAAACTTAAAGGCAAATACCTGCAGTGACATACTGCTCAAATTTAAATCCCCAGGCACACATCTCCTCTTGTTTGGGAGTTGTCTTCTCTTTTTGCTTTTTTTTGGTCTCAGTATCAAACTCACACATGTAATATGTGCCTCTAAAGTAGATAACAGCTACTAGTAAATCTTCTTGATTTTCATATGGAACACAGAGCAATCGAGTCAGAAGACCTCTCCAACATACAAAATCATACTTATGTCTGGGAAATTGCAAAATGGAATTTGTTTTATTGTTCACCAACTTAAATATCTTGATGAAATAATTACACAGTTGTTGTGGAAAAGAGTTTCAGTTTAAGAGACTTAGTTGTATCCTATTTCAAATCAATCATTAAATAATTAAATAAGTTTGCTAAGTACAGTAAAGTAACTGTTATTAGAAAATTGTGAGACGGTAGTAAGAGTAAGAGTTCCAGATACCTGTGAAATAACTCTTTCTTTGTAATCTCGGTCTTATCAAGATTTTTGTTTGGGGTGACCAAAAGCAGCTCTTTATTTTTCATGATCCAATGCAAAATGCCATCCAAATGCGTCTGAACAGTTTCGTCTTTTTTTATCATCTTTGAGTAACCTTTCCTTAAATCAAAGTTACAAGTATTTCGATCATCTGGTGGTGCAAACACCCGCAACTGACTTCTATCCCTTTGATACTGTCTCTTCTCATCATAGCTAAAGAATCCAATTTCTGCTGGTTCTTTAAAATGAGGGAATGCTTTGTCATACAAACGAGGCCAGGTATTGAGAACACTTTCACTAGCAGTGCATTGTCTTTTTTCCTCTGTTCTTCTTGCCTCATTGCCTTCATATTTCCGCTTCATTTTGTTATTCTTTGTCCATTTTCAAACTTAAGCTTAAAGTTAAATATATGTTTCATTCAGATCAACTAATATGTACAGTTCCTTGTTAAACTGATAATTATAGATCCATCCCTATGGCACTACGGCCCGTGTAGAGCTTTGGCTTGCCTCACCACTTCCTTCCACTCAGACCTAACTGATGCTTTTCTTTTCCTTTCTTGGATTGATAATTACCGGTATCCAATTTAATTTTGTAATAACTATTAACTGTCAAAAAGCAGAGATCAAAGGGGGCCTGCAGTTAGATAAGTCCTTCTCAATCTCTGTCTGAAATCTTTGAAGTTGAATTGAACATCATTCTGCAAATTATGATTCATGGGCTTTTTGTCAGATATTAAAATTAAATCTTAATAACTGAAAAAAGAATTTAAAAGATTTTTATATTAGCCTTAGCCTACTTACAAAATGATCACTAATGTAATAGAATTTGTAATTAAACAATAGTAATGAATAGGCATAGGGTCAGCGAGAGGGGCAGGGTATAAAGAGTACCTTCTTAGCATTGGCCTATTAATTTAAAAAATTATATGGCACTATTTGTTTTGCTAATGGATATATGATATAGTAATTTAATACAACTGATCACAGAGATCATCATAGTATTTTTCAAACTGATAATCATAGAATCACATGTTGATTTTTTTTCATAGTATTTATATATATATCTTATAGTTTTATACTCTATTGTTAGAATTACTGGGGCTGGTATTTAGGTATCGAATATGTCTCTGACTACAAATACAGTAACATTACCGTATAGGCATTGACATATAGGACAAGAGTTGGCAAACTGGGGTTAATTACCCCAAATGGGGTAAAAATTAAAATCTTGGGGCAATGAGAGCTCAAATAAAATTATATTTAAATTTAAAGCACATTCTTTTCTTTCTTAAATGACCACACTGTGTCTGGCCTTTTTAGTAGAGAAATGCACCAAACGTGCTGTGGTTATTAGAGTTGTTATTACAAAGACTTCCCCATGGAAATTCTCTGAGTTTGCCAGCTCTGGGGATACCCTACTCTGCTGACAACCTGCTCTCATGGTACCCTTTCCTAAGTTATTGCACCCTGCTATGGTGACACACTGCTCTTGTATTTAAATTTAACTAAGATCTGATTGATCAAGCTCTATCAAATTTTCTATTTCCCTGTAAGAGTGTCACTACACCCCCCCCCCCACCCCCTGTTAGGCTGCCTGCTTATGCTAAAAATGTCAATGGATTCAAAAACTTCCATAAATTGCTCACGAGGAAGCAGTAAAAAGTGATGGCCTTCCCAACAACTTACCACTGATTGTAAAGAAGGATTTTCCACTCTTATAAACTTAAAAAGAAACATCAATTATTTAACCCCAAAGACATTATCCACATTTCCGTGATATTAAGACCCTAAATTTTGATGTCATCATATTTTAAAAAATCATCACTTTTCCAAAATGTTTAAGTTTAGTGAAAATAATTTCAAAGAAATTTGTTTGTTCTTTGTATCATACCCAGTACCATTTTATTTGATCAAATATATTTTATAATTATAATTTTATTCTACATATAAAACAATTCAATAAACCATTGGATTTTCATCCTTTCAAATCAAGGGGCTAACGTTGGCATAAACAAATATATTTCGGGGTAATGATAAAGGTAATGGCAATGGCTTAAAAAGTTTGCCAAACCTTGTACTTGTATTTCCTAATTAATATTTTTATGGGATACTGGTATGGCATAAGTTATAAGCCTAGGCCTAGACTGTAACTCAAACTGTAGACTGTAGAGTCAAAGACAGATAGGTAATTAATAGTTCTAACACTAACATTTCATTTTCATGATCAATCATTCAATTATTTCAATGATGAGAATGAGAGTAATTTATCACATTTGTCATTAGACATTAGAATTTAAAATGTACTATTATTAAAAAATTATTGCACTTCATTATTGACTGATACAATTATAAGTTAATAGTTAAAGTTAATCATCATATAAAATGTATGATTAAGATTTATCTCAGTATATTATATTACTAATTACCCGGTAGGCCTATATTAATATCATGTATGCCATATAATTATAATTAATATTAATAAAGTCATCGTCATAGTCATCTTAATTCTTACTACTTAGTCTTAAAGTCTTAGATGAAGTTCGGCAGTGTATTACTGTATAAAAATAAATATGACTTCTGTAAGTTTAAGTCAGAGAAGGGACAAAGTCAGTATCGGTGGTCAGTTACGTCGTGGACCATTGACTTTGATCATAAAGTCAGTAAAATATGAAGTACTAATGACCAATGACTTAGGAGTAAGTAAATGGCTGAACTAATGAAATGTACTAATGACTAATGTAGTAATGGGCAAACTCAGTGACACTGTCTGTGACACTCAAGGCAGGCCTCGGCCTCAGGGTACCCAGTCTCTCAGTAGCTCCAGCTCTTCAGCTCAGTGTTAAAAAATAGGTGAGTAGTGAGTAGGTCTAGGCTAATGATAGCTAGAGACCAAAGATAATATTTTAGCGTCCTAAACTCAAAGCAAATTTAAAAGCGTATTTTGTTTGTTGTTGTTTTTGTTTTTTTAAGTTTCATGGTACCATGTAATGATTTTCAAAACCTCAACTACCTCTTTGACATAAGAGCTCTCTTTAAGTCACTATCATTGATACTATCATTAACTAAGACTAACAGAAGAGCTCTCCAACCTCTTCTTTGAGAGTTTTAACCCTTAAATACGAAGTCTAATTCACCAGCCCAGTTTACCAAGCTCAATCTGGGTTAGACCATTCAAAGGACCCCTATATATTTTTGTTTTTTCTAATTCTTGACTGTCACATGCGCCAAAGTATGAAAATTAAGTTTTTCAGGTTTCTGAAACTAGTATTCAATGATTCAAACGAAGTTTGCATAAAATATCGGGTAATTTACGGGGAAGACTGCCACTATTTTATCGAATTTCACGAATGTATCCCTAAATCGATCCCTATACCTAACCTGAACCCTAAATCGATCCCTCAACCTAACCTAAACCCTAATTCAGTGCAACTATAATAAACACACAAAAGACGCCGTGGCAGCCGTCCTCAGATTTAGCCAAATATCGTATTGCTTACACAAAATATAAAAACAAACTTGAACAAAGTAAATAAAATCAATATAGTCTTCCACATACATTAAAAGTATATATTTAAAGAAAAAATGCACTTTTAAATTTGTAAACTTTTGTATAATAACATATTATAAGTCTAATCATATTATAAGTATCTTAAGCTAATGCGGGATGTAGGCTATATACAAACAAAAAAGCAGAAAAAAAAAAAAAAAAAAAAAAAAAAAAAAAAAAAAAAAAAAAAAAAAAAAAAAAAAAAAAAAAAAAAAAAAAAAAAAAAAAAAAAAAACAAAAAAAAAAAAAAAAAAAAAAAAAAAAAAAAAAAAAAGCAACTAGTTGTTATTATATCACATCCCGTGGTCCTCTGAGGACCCTTTTGGTATATTGAGGGTAAGGATTAACCGGTAAAAATAAACATTTTGATGCACTTGGTCATGTATCAGCCAGCTCCAAGTAAGCCCTACGTTGAACCCAACATCATCATCAGTGGACAGCGTCTCAACCCGGTGGATAAATTTACTTACTTGGGTAGCACCCTCTCTAGATCTGTCGTCATGGATGATGAAATGAATGGCCGACTCGCAAAAGCTAGTGCCATTTTTGGCAGGCTCCGCAGCACTGTTTGGGACAGGAGAGGTATCAGACGAGAAACGAAGATCAAGGTCTATAGCGCAGCAGTCCTCTCGACATTGCTCTACGGATGTGAAACGTGGACAGTCTACCAGGGTCACGCCAAGAAACTGAAATATTTTCACACAACCTGCCTCAGGAAACTCCTCGGCATCAGGTGGCAAGACAAAGTCCCTGACACAGAATCAGATGTCTTCACTAGAGCGAACCTACTTAGTATCTTCACCACCCTGATGCAGTCTCAACTCCGTTGGATGGGACACGTAGACCGTATGGAAGACCACCGGCTCCCGAAACAGATATTCTTCGGAGAACTCATGACAGGCAAGCGCTCACAAGGAGGTAAAAAAAAAAGCGTTAGAAAGACTCACTGAAAGTGGCACTAAATGCCATCAGCATCAACCCTACTCAATGGGTGCAGAGAGTCCAGGACAGAGCCAGGTAGATAGCAGCTGTCAAGAAGGGGGCTAAATCCCATGAAGCTAATATGATAATCACAGCTGAGACACGCAGGCTTGCCCGAGAGAGCAACATTAGGTCACCGGCTGCAGCAACTATCCCATGCTCATGGTGCCAGAGATTATTCCGAGCACGGATCGGTCTAGCAAGCTACCCTACGAGCTCACCGTAACCCACCCTCCCCCTAACCGGATGACTCGATGGTCCTAGTCGACTTCGATGGAAGAACAACAACAACAACATTTTCTTATGTTTAGTAATTAGTTGCGCTTACATAATTTTCCCATGTTCCTAAATTCCAAATTTCAACAATATAGTTTTCTTTTGTACTTATAGTTAGCTTGCAATTTTGTCTATTTGTGTTTGTCTGGGTCAAATCTTATAATTTAATTTTCGAACTGTTACTTTCGTCCTATACTATGGACTTGAAAATTTTCATGGCTACGGAATCTTAGTGACAATATAACCCATGGTGTGGTGCTCAGCGGTGACCTTCAATGACCCTTGAATTACCTCTGAGAGTCAAATCTTGCATCTCAGTTTTGACCTACTTCCTGATCTCCACCTGAGCTGAAACTATGTACACTTACCCACCCCCATACAACCAGAACATAAGTGATGATAAATAAATGACAATAAAGATGAAATAGTACAACATTTTTTTTTAAAAGGTATTTTGTGTACGCTTTTATTAAATGCACTACTAACAAGTAAAAGCTCAATTTTGTTAAGACCCACCAGGATTTGCTGACAATGAGGCATGTCAAAAAACAAAAGTGTAGGCGCCAAACATAGAGGGAAATGCTACAATTTAATAAAAACTCAAGACACAATACAAAGGCAATATAACAAACATGGACACTGCTGACCCGTCATTTTGTGTTTTTTTTTTATTAACGCTGTGTAGCGTAACTTCTGAGAACATGCATATTCTAAAGTTTAGCTTCTAAAACATGGAAATCATGTTTGGAACGCCGTTCATGTGAAATTTAAAAGGAGATCATCAACATTCTCTCTTGAATTCTGAGTAAATTTTTCATTGTTGGATTTCTTTCCATATTTTGCGCCCATATTTCCTTCAATATTTTTGTAAATATTGTAAATTGTAAGTAAACTCTGGCGTGTTTTAAAAATTGTTTTGTACTTTTAATGCATTTTTTTATTTTAAAAAAATGTTTTTTAAAAGGTTTTTTTTTTATAAATTTATTTTTGCTTTGGACAACCCCCTCGGACAACCCCCTCGGACAACCCCCTCGGACAACCCCTCGGACAACCCCCTCGGACAGCCCCCTCGGACACCCTCGTACAACCCCCTCGGACAACCGCCTCTGACAACCCCCTCGGACAACCTCCTTGGACAACCCCCTCGGACAACCACCTCGGACAACCCCCTCGGACAACCCCCATGATTCACCACAAAAAGATCTCGTTAACCTTAACAAATTATGTAAACGCTCCTTTCCCCTCTCTATTAAAATATGAAATTAAATTTTATTAATTAAATGAAAACGGTTGATCCACCTCAGCCTGTGATAAGATACACATCTTCAGTCTGGGACCCATTCACACAGAAGAGCATCGACAGGTTGGAGGCGGTCCAGCGACGGGCATCACGCTTTGTCCTGAACCGCTACAGGAACACGTCAAGTGTTAGCAGCAAGCTGGAAACATTGGGCTGGTCACCATTGGAGGAACGACGATGACCATCCAGGCTCTCCATGATGAACAAGAGAAAAAATGGGCTGGTCCATAGCTCATTAAACATAAACCAAGTCATAGTCGGGGGCTTTTGTCTATAGCGTGTGTGTCCGGGGGCTTTTGTCGGAAAAAGGGGGGGGGGCTTTTATGAGGGTGTGGAGATTTTGTCAAGCATCAGTTCTAAAGTGTTGAAAATATCAATTAAACAAAAAATGTGTCCATATCAATCCCGGGAATACCCACGTAGGCGATTATGTGGAGTTAATAAACAAACCTACAAACAAAAATCCACAAACAAACTTTTACCTTAACATAGATAGATGCTCTTAAAACTTCCGCTTTTTTTATAATCACCTATGTATTTAAATAATCGCGTTTTTTTTTTTCTTTAAATAATTTCTTTATCAACGTGTGTGAAACGACCAGCGAGGAAATGGCCCGGAGGCGAAATTGAAGATGAGAAACGTCATAGACATCCCCGCCCACCCCACCCCCGGCTGCATTTTATCTAATCCTAGGGTTCTAGCTACGCCACGGAGAGGGGGGTGGGGGGTGGTCATGAATTTGTGACGATGCATTAACCAGAATGTCTTCGTGTAAAAAAAAAAATAGACCCAATAGCGTGCCGTCATTTATGGATTACATGAACCCAACAGCTGAACACATTAAATAGATTAAAAATTCTTAAAAAGTTTAAATAAATACTGTTTCCCTGGGGGCGCAAATTCAAACTCCACCCCGGGCGGCACAATATCTCTCTACGCCACAGGTGTTCACAGACTGACGAGCTGTTAAGATCAGTGTTTCTTTCAGGCTATTTCCTCCCGGCGGGGGGGGGGGGCATTTTGAAATTATGAGGGAGGGGGTGTGTCAGTGGCGTGGCTAAGGGGTAGGGGAAGGGAAAAAGTCCCCGGGTGCCAGACTTAAGGGGGGGGGCGCCCCAAAATGGGCTTTAAAGGTATTTAAGGGCTGAAAATAATGTGTTTCAGAGGGGTTTTTTTTAAAAAAGGGTGGGGGTTAAAAATTATTCTTGTCCCTTAACACCAAACACTCTTCTCCCCAGAAATATTTTTATTACAGTATTTCAAAATCAAGAGTTGCGTTTTTGAGTATAATTGAATTCAATGTTTCAATTAGAATTTTTGATCGAAGAAAAGAAATTTGTAAGGTCCTTGGGGAGTGCCATACATAAAATGAATGCACTTCGCTTGTGGCGGGTCTCAGGACACTCATTTGGCATAAGCTTACATTCAAACCCATATTATAACATTGATCAGCGTAAGGGAAGGGGTGTAGAAATTGAGTGTGCTGAAGAAGGTCGAGCAAATTCAAAATGCAGGTGTGCATTTTGGCGGATACTTGAATTCGGTATTTCTTTCAGCCAATTTTAAGGTGACATTTTAGATTTAGCTCCAAAATTAGCCATAATAATGATCAAGGACAACTCTAACTCCGCCCCAGCAACCAGAGGCGTAGCGAGAGTGTTTGGTGGCCCGGGACAAGATTTGCGCCCAGGGACAAGATTCATTTTAAAGCGCCCCTTTTTATTTTTTCAACTCTCAAACCCATTATTTTCATCAATAAAATAATATCAAAGCACATTTTGGCGCTCCTAACTAGCTGGCGCCCGGGGACATCTGTCCAACTGCCCCCCTCGCTACGCCTCTGCCAGAAACGGAAGAGATGCTAGTTAAAAAATCTAGG